AAAAAAAAAAAAAAAAAAAAAAAAAAAACAGTTGTCAAATTGACCGATGAATAAAAAAACCAGAACGGGAATGTAATTTTATATGACTGTAAAGGAACTAATGACTTAATCAAATAAAACTTTAAACCTTGAATCCTTCAAAATTGAAAAGGTCTTCAACTTTCTCTCTTGATTTCTCAAGTTCCTCCTTAAAATGATAGTCAATCATAGGCTGCTGAATGTACCATTGGACTAATCAACTCTAAAGAAACAGCCACTTATTTCTTTGACAAGTGGTTCATGGCAAAACTGTGCGCTATAATAAAGATAACAGCCGACTAAAACGCTTCAAAACACAAGGAGTTAAACACAGAAAATTATAGGCAGATTTACAAGTTTATTCAACATAACATAACAATCGCAAGCAAAATTGAATAGGAGACGACTTTATATACACAATAATCCTTAAAACTGAGATCGGCTTAAAAACTGAAAAGAAAACAAGCTGTAAATAAAATTAAAAAATAAACAATCTTTAACTAGTTCTTCTCCTATATAACAAAGTGCTCGACAAAGATAGGCCATATCTGCATTCCTAGTGCCGAGCAGTTTCGAAAAACATGGCAAACCCGTTCTTAATCCGACCAAGTCTACCCCACTGTATAACTTTTTACTTTATTCTTCTTTCCTAACTTCTGTCTTGGCCTACGGGAAAAACAACACATGACAATCAACAAAAATCCTGAGGAAAAGCCAAAGGCTGTGTAGGTAGTAGTCCACGACAATTACAGTTCAATTAAATGCTTAAAAAAAGAGAGAGGATAAAATTCGAAGAATAATATATTAAAATCAAAATTTCACAAGAAACACCATACGAAGCACAAATCGCGAAATTGTTCCCTTCAAAACTGCGACTTAAAAACTTTTCAGCAACAGGATAAGTATATAAAAGTTTCGTCTTGACAGGATACTAATGTTTTTTTGCCACTTTATAAAGAGGCTGTAATTCAGCATCCCCTTCTTCCTCTTCAGGTGCAGTGGTTTTCTCTTGAAAAATTGTTACAGGCTGATTCTTTAAATACGCTTTGGCAACGTAATACGGATTTTTCTCTGCCTGAAGAAAGATAAGATATAGTGATTGTACTGAAGCTATAGAGAGACCAGACATTAACTGAAAAACATCTTTAAATTCCAACCAATTTCCGTTCACATCTATAAAATTGAAATTTTTGGCTTAGTGTCCAAAAAATGAAAGAAGTAAAGCCCTACACAAAACTACATGTAGAAACAAAATCCCAAACATCTTCTGAACCAGTGCAATAACTTAAAAATTGATAGCCCAAACCTCTTCAGCATGACGCAGTATTGAAGCTCGAACGTCAGTATCAGCAAGAAAATCACGATTCCTTTTAGTCCCCATTTGCTTCGCGATGTAAGAGTGTA